TAATTAATGCAGTACTGTAAGTAGGAAATAAATTCGTTTCTGGTTTTGAAGTGAGGGTGGCAGTGCTGTGACAAACCCAGGGACAGCTGCAAACCCCAAAATCCCAAAATCCCAAATCCCAAATCCCTCCTGCAGCTCAGGTTACAGCCCCCAGCCTTCCTGCCCAAAATAATCCCATAAAAACCTCTCCAAAATTCAGCTGTTCCCTGCTAAGCCCTGGCCCCAAACTGGGGCTTCATTCCTCCACTCTGAGCAGCATTTTATATATAAATAATGCCTTATAAATAAAAAAAACAACAACAACCCGGCACCTAAAATATAGAGATAAATATAAATATATTAAAATATAAATATGAGCACATGGATAAATATATAGTATATAAATATATATATATATAAATAAAATTATATATAAATAAATGTCCTAATGATAGGGGGAAAAGGTGGCTAAATCCTAATGAGAGGTGAAAAAAAAGGGAAATAAAGGTGGATAAATCCTAATGACAGATAAAAAAAAGGGGGGGAAAAGGTGGATAAATCCTAATGGGAGGTGAAAAAAAGGAAATAAAGGTGGATAAATCCTAATGACAGGTGAAATAAAAGGGAAATAAAGGTGGATAAATCCTAATGACAGACCAAAAAAAAAGGGGAAAAAAAGGTGGATAAATCCTAATGACAGACCAAAAAAAAAGGGGAAAAAAAGGTGGATAAATCCTAATGACAGACCAAAAAAAGGGGGAAAAAAAGGTGGATAAATCCTAACAACAGGTGAAAAAAAAGGGGGGAAAAAAGGTGGATAAATCCTAATGACAGGTGAAAAAAAGGGGGGAAAAAGGTGGATAAATCCTAATAGCAGGTGAAAAAAAAAAGGGGGATAAATCCTAATGACAGGGGAAAAAAATAGGGAAATAAAGATGGATAAATCCTAATGACAGACCAAAAAAAGGGGGAAAAAAGGTGGATAAATCCTAATGCCAGGTGAAAAAAAGGGAAATAAAGGTGGACGAATCCCAATGGACGCAGAGTGAGCAGAGGACTGTTTAAACTGGATTTCTCAGTGGATTTCAGAATTCCCCCCAAACCCATTCCCACAAAAAGAGCGTTCCTGGATTGCCCGGACTCCTGGGGGGAGATCAAAGCCACTTGCTCAGAGATGAGCAGAACAGGTCCTGCCAGGTCATTAAATTGTTTACTGGGACTGCAGGCACGCCCTGCAAGCGCCTGCCAGGAATCAGCTCTACCTGCCAAGCTGCAGCTGAGACACATCTAAATAAAGGAATTAAAACATTAAAAAAGTCAAATTTATTTGGAGGAACTGGGATTTAATTATCAGGTGTTTGTTCCACAAGATGCCTGGCAAAAATCAACTTCATCTGCCAAGGTGGAGGTGAGACACATCTAAATAAAGGAATTAAAACATTAAAAAAGTCAAATTTCTGTGTAGGAACCTGAATTTATCAGCTGGGAAGTGATGAGGTGGATTTGACACGGAGTTGGAGGTCACTGTTAATTATTAGATGTTCATTATCAGGTGTTTGTTCTACAAGATGCCTGGAAAATAATCAGCTTTACCTGCCAAGGTGGAGGTGAGACACATCCACATCTGGAATTAAAACATTAAAAAAAGTCAAATTTCTGTGTAGGAACCTGAATTTATCAGCTGGGAAGTGATGAGGTGGATTTGACACGGAGTTGGAGGTCACTGTTAATTATTAGATTTTAATTATCAGGTGTTTGTTCTACAAGATGCCTGACAAAAATCAGCTTTATCTGCCAAGCTGGAGGTGAGACAAATGTAAATAATGGAATTAAAACATAAAAAAAGTCAATTTTCTTTGGAGGAAGTGGAATTTATCAGGTGGGAAGCAATGAGGTGGATTTGACATGGAATTGGGGGTCATTTTTAATTATTAATTTTAATTATCAGGTGTTTGTTTTACAAGATGCCTGACAAAAATCAGCTTTATCTGCCAAACTGGAGGTGAGACAAATGTAAATCATGGAATTTAAAACATCAAAAAGTCAATTTTCTTTGCAGGAAGTGGAATTTATCAGGTGGGAAGTGCTGAGGTGGATTTGACACCAGGACTTCTCAATATTCAAGGTGTCAAGTCTCAATAATTCAACTTGGTTCTTTTTTTTCCCCCTAACATCAGGATTTCTCAATATTTGAGGTGTCAAGCCTGAAGATTTCAGTTCTTTTTCCTTCTAAGATCAGAATTTCTCAATATCTGAGGAGTAAACTCTGAATATTTCAACTTGATTCTTCTTTTTCCTTCTAACATCAGGATTTCTCAATATCTGAGGTGTCAAGTCTCAGTATTTCAACTTGGTTCCTTTTGTTCCTTCTAACATCAGGATTTCTCAATATTCAAGTTGTAAATTCTGAATAATTCAATTTGCTTCCTTCTCTTCCTCCTAGCATCAGGATTTTTCAATATTCAAGGTGTAAACTCTGAATATTTCAACTTAATTCTTTTTTTTCCTTCTAGCATCAGGATTTCTCAATATTTGAGGTGTCAAGTCTGAAGATTTCAGTTCTTTTTCCTTCTAAAATCAGGATTTCTCAATATTCAAGGCGTAAATTCTGAATAATTCAACTTGCTTCCAGGAAATAAAGGTAGATAAATCCTAATGATGGGGGCGAAAAAGGTGGATAAATTCTAATGACAGGTAAAAAAAGGGGAGAAAAAGGTGGATAAATCCTAATGACAGGCAAAAAAAATGGGAAATAAAGGTGGACGAATCCTAATGATAGGCTAAAAAAAGGAGGGAAAAGGTGGATAAATCCTAATGACAGGTTTAAAAAAGGAGGGAAAAGGTGGATAAATCCTAATGACAGGTTTAAAAAAAGGGGAAATAACGGTGGATAAATCCTCCTGGATAACTCCTCGTGGATGCTCAGCGAGCAGAGGCTGATGAGCGCATTTCCTGCCCTTCTTTTTCCTTCTAAAATCAGGATTTCTCAATATTCAAGGCGTAAATTCTGAATAATTCAACTTGCTTCCTCCTCTTCCTCCTAACATCAGGATTTCTCAATATTCAAGTTGCAAACTCTGAACAATGCACCTGGTTCCTTTTTTCCCTCCTAACACCAGGATTTCTCAATACCTGAGGTGCTCATCATTTAAATATTCCGACCCTTCCTGAAATTCCCCAGCTGATTTCCCCAGCCCAGCCTCCTGTTCTCCCTCTCACAGACACTCTGTGTCTGCCCATGGGGGAAGCAGTTCATCATTCCAGCTTAAAGAAGTGCTTTTGATAAAAATCCAAGGCACTGCTCTGAGAGCTGTTTTGTTTTCGTGGACAGAAGGGGAAATAACGGTGGATAAATCCTCCTGGATAACTCCTCGTGGATGCTCAGCGAGCAGAGGCTGATGAGCGCATTTCCTGCCCAGCTCCGCGAATAAAGCCCCGTGACCGCAGGATGCCAGAGCTGTCACCGCACCTGGCCCTGCCCACGGCAGGACGAGCAGGCTCTGCCTGCCTGCAGAATAAACCTCGACAGCACGACCCTTCCCACAGCCCCAGCCACACTTGTTTTACCTCCACAGGCACAGAAACCCACCGCGAAAATGCCAATTTGGCAGCTCCGGGCACGGAGCTGCTCTAGAAAATGAGAACGTTTCTAGAAAACCACTGCGTGCTTTCCCATGCCCTTCCAACACAACGCAAGCCGCCTTTCTTTGGGGGCAATATTCAAGGCGTAAATTCTGAATAATTCAACTTGCTTCCTCCTCTTCCTTCTAACATCAGGATTTCTCAATATTCAAGTTGCAAACTCTGAACAATACACCTGGTTCCTTTTTTCCCTCCTAACACCAGGATTTCTCAATACCTGAGGTGCTCATCATTTAAATATTCCGACCCTTCCTGAAATTCCCCAGCTGATTTCCCCAGCCCAGCCTCCTGTTCTCCCTCTCACAGACACTCTGTGTCTGCCCATGGGGGAAGCAGTTCATCATTCCAGCTTAAAGAAGTGCTTTTGATAAAAATCCAAGGCACTGCTCTGAGAGCTGTTTTGTTTTCGTGGACAGAGCAGAATGATGCTGCCTGCATGCTAAAAATCCTGGCCTGGAGCCCACACACAGGGACTGAAAATGGGTAAAATAAATAAATAAATAAATAAACAGATCGATCAGGGCTGACGTCAGCAGGAAAAGGGTCACTGCCATGTGGGACAGACGTGGGGACAGCGAGGACACAGCGCTGGCTCGGGGCCACCGGAGCTCGGGGGGCTCTGCAGCACCAGGGGGGGACAAGCCGCCTTTCTTTGGGGGTTTTTTTTGATATTTTTTTGGATTTTTTTTTCCCTTCCGATAAACACAAAGACTCCGAGAAGGAACGAGGCGAAACATCTGCAGGAAGCCGAGGCAGCCCCGGGAGCTTCCCCCGCGCAGCCCCGGCTTTTGTCTGCGTTTGGCCGATGCACACAGCGCTGGGCACGGCTCATCCCGGCTCACCCCGGCACAGCCCGGCTCAGCCCGGCCCCTCCGGACACGCAGCCGGGATGCTCCGGGCACAATGGAGCGGCAGCCGCCGGCTCCTTCCCCCCCAGCCCCTGCGGCCTGATGTGGCTGCGAGCACGGCCAAGCCGCAGCCTTTGTTGTCACAGCCCACATTCCTCCAAGACCGCTTAAAAAAAAAATAATAATAAAAAAAAAATAACAACCCACCCTCGGAGAGACGGGGATGTGAGCGCATGGAAAATGAGCGTGTTCCGCAGCCGCGGCCGCGAGCAGCGCCGCCCGGCCGAGCCCGCGGGGGAGGGATGCGGGCTCCGGAGCCCGCAAAGCCCGGCTGGTCGTGCGCCAGGGACACCGAGGGATGCGGGAGGGATCTGCGGGGAACGGGCGGGGTGCGGGCCGAGGCATCGCCGGCGGAGCGCGCTGGGCCCGGCTCCGGCCCTTCCCGGCCCGGGCGCGGCCCTGCCCGTCCCCCCGTTGGCCCCGCACCGCCCCGAGCCGTTCCCCGGGCGGCCGCGGCGCTCCGGCGCTTACCGGAACCGGGGCGAGTCCTTGATGCACTCCTCGAACTCCACCGTCATCCTGCCGGCTCGGGCTCGGCCGCGCTGCGCTCAGCGGAGGAAGCGCATCGCCCGCCGGCTGCGAGCAGCGCCCGCCCCCCGCGCCGGCCCGCCTCCCGGTGGGACAGCCGGGGACAGACCGGGAACGGCCCAGCCTCCCGGTGGGACAGCCGGGACAGACCGGGAACGGCACCGGGAACGGCACCGGGAACGGCACTGGGGACAGAGCGGGAACGGCCCAGCCTCCCGGTGGGACAGCCACCGAACCGGGAACGGTCCAGCCTCCCGCGGAACCGGGGATAGCACCGGGAACAGCATCGGGAACAGCACTGGGAGTAGCACCGGGAATAGCACCGGGAACAGCCCAGCCTCCCGCGGAGCCGGTACGGCACCGGGTAGGGCACCGGGCCCAGCCCAGCCCCGGTACGGACCGGCCCGCCTCCGGGCACCGGCACGGCCCTGACGCAGACCGGGCCCGCCTCCCGCAGCACCGAGAGAGAGCCGGGAACAGCGCAGACCCGCCCGCTGCAGAGCCACGCAGGGAGCCGGGCACCGCACGGACACCGGACACGGCACGGACACTGCCCTGACCCCTCCATACACCGGACACGGCACGGACACCGGACAGGGCACGGACACCGGCCAGGGCACGGACACAGCTCTGACCCCCCTCCTGCACACCGGACACGGCACGGACACTGCCCTGACCCTCCACACACTGGACAGGGCACGGACAAGGCACGGACACAGCCCTGACCCCTCCATACACCGGACACAGCCCTGACCCCCCGGCTGTGCTGGGTGGGTGACACGGGCACTCTCCTGTCCCCTGTCCCCAGCCCCGAGGGTTCTGCCGGGCTGGGGAGGAGCTCGGAGATGCCAGCAATGCCCAGCCTTGGGGGGAGCTTTAAGCTCAGCTCAGCCCCCCCAAAGCGCAGCAGCCAGAGGCACCTCCAGGGCTGGGGACCCCGCTGCCTCCCTGGGCAGCCGTTCCAGAGCTGAGCACCCCAAGTGTTCAATATCTGATGGCAATCTCCCCTGCCTCAGTTTCCTCTCCTCCTCTCACCATGGGCATGGCAGAAGAGATGAGACCCCACTGAACAGCCCCTGGTGAGGTGCTGAGGCTCCCTGAGCCTGACCCAACCCAGCTCCCTCAGCTGCTCCTCAAAAGCCATTTTCAGCCCTTTGAGAGCCCCGCTGGCCTCCCCTGGACGTGCTCCAGCCCCTCGATGTCCTTTTTAGAGTGAAATCATCGACTCCAACTCCACCTTGGCACCCAGACCTGGCACTGAGTGCCACACCCTTAAAAAATGTGGGCATGGGGACTCAGCACCTCCCTGGGCAGCCCATTCCAAACCCTTTCCATGAAGAAAATGTTGCCTGTTCCTGGTATTTGGGTGAGGGTGAGGCTCAGAAGACACTCAGGGCACGAGTGGCTCAGGGCTGAGCTGGCCGTGACACCAGCTCAGGTGGGTGGTGACAACTTCAGGGGCAGCTGGTCACGCCAGGGAGGAATTTTTTTACCATGAGGCTGTTAAAACAATGTCAAAGATTGTCCAGAGAGGTTTGGCTGGAAATATTCCTATCCCTGGAAATATTCAAGGTCAGGGTGAGCAAACTGGCCTGGTGGAAGGTGATCGAGGCAGAGGGTTGGAATAGCTGAATGTCAGCTTCAATCCAAACCATTCCATGATTTCCAGGAAGGATTTCCAGAATTTCAGCTCTCCAATCCAAACCATTCCATGATTTCCAGGATTTCCAGAATTTCAGCTTTCCAATCCAAACCATTCCATGATATCCAGAATTTCAGCTTTCCAATCCAAACCATTCCATGATATCCAGAATTGCAGCTTTCCAATCCAAACCATTCCATGATATCCAGAATTGCAGCTTTCCAATCCAAACCATTCTATGATTTCCAGAATTTCAGCTCTCCAATCCAAACCGTTCCATGATTTCCAGGCAGGAAGAACAAACCCAATCCAATGGTAAAATTCCATAACCAGCAGCAGGATTGGCACCAATGGAAATATTCCTGTCCCTGGAAATATTCAAGGTCAGGGTGAGCAAACTGGCCTGGTGGAAGGTGACCCTGCTATGGCAGAGGGTTGGAATAGCTGAATGTCAGCTTCAATCCAAACCATTCCATGATTTCCAGGAAGGATTTCCAGAATTTCAGCTCTCCAATCCAAACCATTCCATGATTTCCAGGATTTCCAGAATTTCAGCTTTCCAATCCAAACCATTCCATGATATCCAGAATTTCAGTTTTCCAATCCAAACCATTCCATGATTTCCAGACTAGCTGAATTTCAACTTTCCAATCCAAACCATTCCATGATATCCAGAATTGCAGCTTTCCAATCCAAACCATTCTATGATTTCCAGAATTTCAGCTCTCCAATCCAAACCGTTCCATGATTTCCAGGCAGGAAGAACAAACCCAATCCAATGGTAAAATTCCATAACCAGCAGCAGGATTGGCACCAATGCTGTCCCTCGTTAACCCAGTTTTTAATTTTCCATAGGCAGTGGATTTGCTGCTGCCAGCATCCAGGGGATAAATCTGCAGGAATCCCCCGGGGAAGGAGCACATCTGGATTTGTGGGTCCAGCTGAACTGAATTCCATTGCCACAGGACAGGCAACAAAATGTGGTGTGGCTAATTGAGGTTAATTAATCCTGATCTTCCACCCACCCAGCACCACAGCCACAGCGGCAGCAACCACATCGTTCACTGATGGTTTCAAATGAACTTTCTCTGAACTGAGAGGAGGGACTGATGTGGAAATCTCATGTTTGAAGAAAATCCTACATCCAAACTAAAGCCATGAGTGAAACAAGAGGCCCAGGGGCCCTGACAGATGTCTCAAGGAGGCCTCACCCAGCCATGGACAGGAACAGTGAGGAAATAAAATATTTAATGCCATTTTTGCACACAAATTAACACAAAAATTCACCTCCAGACCAGGCTTTGGTTTCCATCTGAACTGAGAGAAAGGCCTGAAGTGGAAATCCCATGTTTTAAGAAAATCCTACATAATAAAGACCTAAGCTGAAGCCAAGAGTGAAACAAGAGCCCCAGGTGTGCCTGAATCCATGGCAGATGTCACAAGGAGGCCTCACCCAGCCAAGGACAGGAACAGTGAGGAAATGAAGTGAAATTTGAAGTTTAATGCCATTTTTGCACACAAATTAACCCCAAAATTCACCTCTAGACCAGGCTGTCGCTTCCATCTGACTTCCCAGAAGTGAAATGAGGTGAAATTTGAAGTTTAATGCCATTTTTGTACACAAATTACAGCGAAGATGCACCTCCAGACCAGGCTCTTGTACCCAGACCTTGATTTGTTGGCCACAGCCTAGAGTGAGAGGAAAAATCTGAATTATTTAAGGGTTATCAGAGGCTGGAGTGTTCTGAGGAATTTAGGGGAAGGAATTAGCCCTGGAAAAACCCTGGGCTCAGGAGAAGGGGTGAGGTGAGCTCTTGTGCTTTCTGTTTTGTGAGGTTTCAGAGGTCACACCAACCCAAGGCTCCTTTCCCAGTGATGCCTTTTTGTGCTGCCTAAAAACAGAGCCAGACAAAATTAAGAGAATAAAAAGCAGTTCTGTTTATTGAAGGGCCTTCAGGTACATTTAGGGCAGATGAAGCCCCCCAAAAATGGACAAGAAGTCACAGGTTTTAATATTTTTATAAATTTGGTCCATTTGCATATTGGGGGTGAATCTCCCAGTTACAGCTTCAGGTAATGAAGGAATTTGCCCAAAATTTGCTCCCCTAAACTCATTTTTGTTTAACTTTTTTGGGTCCTGAGGCAGTGAGGTGTCCATGACTGCCAGGCCTGCAGAGGAATCATGTCTGAAAATAAAATGTGAAGACAGCAGCTCACACTGGACATGGAATTTACAGTTCTGCACTAAAGAACTGCAAATATATTAAAAATATAGAAGTTAAAATGCTAAGGCATCACCAGCAGGGATGGAAAGAGCAGTTCCTGCCTGCACAAGGCCAGGGATTAGAAATTCTCCTATTTTCCTGAGCTGAGATTCATCACTTCCATGCCAGCCTGGCTGCTGTGGTGTGGCCTGAAAGCTGCCTGGGTTTTGCCATTCAAAACAGATCTCAGACTTGCATGAGGGGAATTTTTCTCTCCAGGGGTTTTTCTCTCCCTCTCCTGCTTCACCCATGAGTTTGGGGCCTGTTTGTGCTGCTTTGAGGTTCTTGCCCATCCAGATATTGCAGTTCAGTGTATCAGAAGGAGTTTTAAATGCAGATTACAGGCACTGAGAACATCTGCAGCCTTTGTGTTTTACCATTTTCTTGGTTTATTTTTGTCCCTGGAGCTGTTGTTTCCTCTCAGCTGTTATTTACACATCTTTCCAGGCTGCACTGGATGCATTGGGATTGCCTGGACGCCTGTGCTGGCAGGATTTGGGTTGGAAGGGACCTAAAAATCACTCAGTTCCCACTCCTTCCACCATCCCAGGGTGCTCCAACCTGGCCCTGGACACTTCAGGGATCCAGGGGCAGCTTCTCTGGCAATTCCATTCCAAGAAAGCCATTCCCTGTGTCCTGTCACTCCGTCCCTTGTCCCCAGTCCCCCTGCAGCTCTCCTGGAGCCCCTTTAGGCCCTGGAAGGTGCTCTGAGATCTCCCTGAGCTCCACTTCTCCAGTTTTTTCACATTCCCAGCTCTCCCAGCCCTTGGAGCATCTCTTGTGACCCCTGCTTTATGTGTTTTCTTAGCTGAAATCAACACAATATTATTATTATTTTTATTATGATGATTTTCTTCCATCCAGCTGAGTTGCAGGCAGCACAGCTGGAGAGCTGAGGAGCATCCAAGGAAGAGCACAGGTTTCCAGAGGGGTTTGGTGTTTGCACAACATCCCAGCTCCCATCCCATCAGCACATCCTGACTCCCATCAGCACATCCAAGGTCCCCATGAGCAGATCCCAGTCCCCATGAGCAGATCCCAGTTCCCATGAGCAGATCCCAGTCCCCATAAGCAGATCCCAGTTCCCAGGAGCAGATCCCATCTCCCACCAGCCCATCTCTGGTCCCAGTCAGTCTATTCCCGGTCCCCATCAGCCCATCCCGGTCCCCACGATCCCATCCCGTTTCCCTCCAGCCCATCCCCGTTCCCCATGAGACGATCCCCGTTCCCCACGATCCCATCCCGGTGCCCAGCCCGTCCCGCTCTCTCCCATTCGCCGTCATTCCGTGCGGTGCCGTGCCGGGCAGTTCCGTGCCGTGCCGTGCCGTGCCGTGCCGTGCCGTGCCGTGCCGTGCCGGGCAGTTCCGTGCCGTGCCGGGCCGTGCCGTGCCGTGCCGGAAGCGGCGGTGCGGGCCGGGGGAAGGGGCGGCGCTGCCGGCGGTGCTGCCGGTCCCGCTCCGCTCGGTGCTGCTCCTGCCGGGCCTGTGCCCCGGTGCTGCCGGGCCTGTGCCCGGTGCCCGCGGCCCCGCCATGGGCAGTGCCCCTGCCCGGTACCTGGTGTTCTTTCAGTACTTTGGCACCAGGTACAGGTACGTGCCCCGCTGGGCCCGGCCACGTGCGGGAGCGGAGCGGCGCCGGGAGGCGTGGGGAGAGCGGGGCTGGGGACGGAGCCTGGAGAGAGCGGGGCTGGGGACGGAGCCTGGAGAGAGCGGGGCTGGGGACGGAGCCTGGAGAGAGCGGGGCTGGGGACGGAGCCTGGAGAGAGCGGGGCTGGGGACGGAGCCTGGAGAGAGCGGGGCTGGGGACGGAGCCTGGAGAGAGCGGGGCTGGGGACGGAGCCTGGAGAGAGCGGGGCTGGGGACGGAGCCTGGAGAGAGCGGGGCTGGGGACGGAGCCTGGAGAGAGCGGGGCTGGGGACGGAGCCTGGAGAGAGCGGGGCTGGGGACGGAGCCTGGAGAGAGCGGGGCTGGGGACGGAGCCTGGAGAGAGCGGGGCTGGGGACGGAGCCTGGGGATAGAGTTTGGAATGGCAGGATTTGGAGAGAGCAGGGTTGGGAGAGCAGGGCTCGGGGATGGAGACTGGGGATAGATAGAGCTTGGAGAGAGCAGGGTTTGGGGACAGAGTTTGGGGATAGAGCTTGGGGACAGAGCTTTGAGAGAGCAGGGTTTGGGGACAGAGCCTGGGGACAGAGTTTGGGGATAGAGCTTGGGGACAGAGCTTTGAGAGAGCAGGGTTTGGGGACAGAGCCTGGGGACAGAGTTTGGGGATAGAGCTTGGGGACAGAGCTTTGAGAGAGCAGGGTTTGGGGATAGAGCTTGGAGAGGGCAGAGTTTGGAATGGCAGGATTTGGAGAGAGTGGATTTTGGGGAGGGATGGATGAGAACAGAGTTTGAAGAGGGCAGAGTTTGATGAGGAATGGATGAGAACAGTGTCCAGGTGAGGGATTAACCCCTTGCTGAGCAGGTGAGAGCAGGCAGGGAGCTGCACCTTTCTGTACATGGAAAAAGGGATGGTTCAGGCAGGAAATGCATAAAACCAGCAGGAGGACAGAGCAGGAAGCTCATCACAAACTCTTTGTGGCCTTTTAGTCAATTTATGACATTCACAAGTCCTGGCCTCCAACTGGCCACCAACTCCTGACCCTAAAATAGTTCTATCTCAAACTAATTTAATTTATCTGCCTTATTCTCCTGTCAGCCTCTCTCAGGGGCCAGTCCAGAGAGGAACATTTGAAGGATTATTTTATTTCCAACATCCCTTCTTGAAAATAACCACATTTAATTTTAATAATTTAAATTTTAATAAGTTCAATAACCAATAAGGCACTTTCCCTGCCCATTCCTCAGTGTTTGTTCCCTGCAAGATCCAGGAAGTCCCCCAGGAAGTCCTGGATTTTTTAGTGGGCTCTATCAAGTCCCTAAATGTTGCCACACATCAATAAATCATATTTGTTTTGCTCTGCAGTGGGGTTATGGAGACCAAGAGTGATCAGGCCCTGGTTGGAGTCCAGAATTATTTGGAGGTAGGTCCTGTTGTCATGAAAATGAAGCTTTTAGGGTCACATTATTCAGCTCCAGAAATTACCAGGGCTAAATATTATTTTAAGGTGGACACTCAGTAAAACTGGCAGGGTGCTGAAAACTGCAAGGTTCAAAACCAAATGATGTCGTGATACAGATTCTGACTTCAAAAAATATGAACCCTTCAATGAGACTTAATTGAGCTTTGTTAAAACTTGTGGCTTGTCCTAAAAACTGCCTCAGTCCTGCCTCGTGTCCAGTTCCTTCATGGATTTAGCAGCTGGATGCTGTCTCCTCCCAGGAGAGGATGTCCCTGACAGAGGTTTGCACAACAAAGCACAGCAGGATGTCCATTGTTCTGTGCTGCTTCCATTTCTTTTTGGAGTTTTGTTATGCCAGGGAAAAAAAAGATCCTGTTAATCCTGCACTGCTCCCAGGGATTCCCTTGGACCTGGGAATGGTTTGAGGAGCCCAGGTGCTGTTTGGGCTGGCAGAGAGTTTGAACAGGAATGAAAAAATCCAATTTTACACCAAGGAGTAGAAAATGGGTCACCTGAGCGTCATAATGCAGTTGTGAATTTAAATTGTAAATTAATTACAAGCTGCTGGTGAGCTGCTGAGTCAGGAATCAAAAGGAAGGTGAATTATTTCTCTTGTCTTGGAAGCATCATGGAGTTCAAAAGGAAAGTTGTGCCTGCTTGGAAGATAAGGGGTTGTTGATTCCTGCGGGTCAGAGCACATTTTGTCACTCAGTTCCCATTTGTGGTCAGTCTGTCTGACCCAAATCCCAAAGGGCAGCACTTTGGGATGCTCTGCTCTGCTGGGGAGGACAGAGCTGTCCAGGAGCAGCCTTGGTGACACCCCAAGTGACAAGGGCAGAACATCCCCGTCCTCTGTGGGGCTGAGAATTCCTGCTGCTCTCTTGGGAAGGCTGCCCTAGATCAGAGGCTGGACAAAGTTAAAGAATAAAGCAGGGATTTATGGAAAGGATCTCCTCCATGGAGCCACCCTGGGCAGCACCAGAGCCCAGCCAGGGCTGCACCCAAGGTGAACCCAAATGGTCCCAAAATGAACCCAAGGGGAACCAAAATGGTCCCAAAATGAACCCAAGGGGAACCCAAATGGTCCCAAAATGAGCCCAAGATGAACCAAAATGGTCACAAAAAATGGATGATCAGGCATAAAATTATAAGTTTTAGTCCATTTGCATATTGCAGTTCAGTGTCCAATTCCAGCTGCAGCCCCTGCAGTCCCATCCTTGTTCTTCCCTCTCCAGCCCACGGGGTTTGTGCTCCTGGGCTGAGATTTGGATCATTTGTCCTTGGTGCCCAGCTGGAGCAGGAATTGTTTTTCTCTCTGCTCTGTGCACAGAGCTCACCATCCCATAATATGAAGCCCAGACCCACACACTAAAGCAGCACAGAATGTGAAAAACAGAAAAGCCAAACCTGAGGCATTAACTCAAAAGGAAAGTGTGAGGAATTATGGTTGGAATCACAGTTCTCAGGGTGTATTCATGTGGCTTTTTGCCTGAGACTGTGGCAGAGAAAGTGGCTAAATATTGTGCAGAGCCCAAAAAGGATTTTTTATCCCATTTATCTCATCCTCTGAGCCATGCAGGGCCCCAGGCTCTGGACGTGGGGTGAGCCCAGCAGTTGTTCTGTGTTATCCCAGCGATGTCTGAGCAGGCAGATGGGCAGGGTGGGTGATTAGAGGAGAAAAGAAGAGGAGAAAAAGACAAACATGAGCTTATTTGGTGCTGCCTTTTCCCCAGTATCAGCACTTTGCAGGCCAGCTCGGTGCTTTCATGTGGTGGTATTGATGCTGGGCACTGCTGTGTCTATTGGAACCACATGGGAAGCCTTAAAGCAGCTTTAATAGAAAACTTCTGGGGCCTGCAGGAATTTCTCTTCCTTCCTCCTTTTCTCTGCAGCCTTGAACTTCACTGCTTTCCCCAAAGCCAGGAAGGCGAGCGAAGGGAAGGGCAAAATTAAAGCTCTAATGAGATCCTTATTGTCTTCTGAGGATGTTCAGCCATTTGTTTGCAAGCAAATAACCTGGGAGGTGCACACTTGGTGTTCCAGCAGCTGTTTTGTGGAATTTGGAGTGGGCTGGTTGGTTTTGTGTCAGTTTGGGCTGGGGCTGAACACATCTGTGTCACTGCAAAGCTTTTTTAGTCCTTGCTGCTGCTCTGTGACAGAGCCCTGCGAGTGCCCAGAGGAAATGGAGCCTTGGTTTAGTCCAGAGATACTTGTAGGAGCTTTTCATCTCTCTTTGAGGGGGGTGAGCTTTGCTGACAACATTTTATTTCTTGGAGACAAGTCTTGGAGCACTTAGAATCCCAGTTTGGGCCCAAAGCAAACTCCAGGCCTTGCTTCCCCACATCCAGGGGTTGGAGCTCTGTGATTTCACTCCCTCCAGTTATTCCTTGGAACTTTTAATGTCTTCAGGACTTATGGTCTGTCTCTTGTAGGAGTTTTTCATCTCTTTTTGAGGGGGGTGAGCTTTGCTGACAGCATTTTATTTCTTGGAGACAAGTCTTGAAAGCCCAACGTGAACCCAAAGCAAATTCCAGGCCTTGTTTCCCCTCATGAGGAGGTTGCAGCTCTGTCATTTGGCTCCCCCCAGTTATTCCTTGGAACTTTTAACATCCAGGACTTCATGCTCTGTTTCTTGCAGGAGGCTTTCATCTCTTTTTGAGGGGATGAACTTTGCTGACAATATTTTATTTCTTGGAGACAAGTCTTAGAGCACCAATTTGGGCCCAAAGCAAACTCCAGGCCTTGCTTCCCCTCATGGGGAGGTTGGAGCTCTGTGATTTCTCTCCCTCCAGATATTTCTTGGAACTTTTAACATCCAGGACTTCATGGTCTGTTTCTTGTAGGAGCCTTTCATCCCTTTTTAAGGGGGTGAGCTTTGCTGACAACATTTTATTTCTTGGAGACAAATCTTTGGGCCCAAAGCAAATTCCAGGCCTTGTATCCCCTCACGGAGAGGCTGCAGCTCTGTCATGTGGCTCCCTCCAGTTATTCATGGAAATTTTCACATCCAGGACTTCAGGCTCTGTCTCGGTTCTTAGAAATGTCTCTGCTGTAAAGGAAGATCTCACCTTTTGCTGTTTTCTTGGGATCTGCAGAATTCCCTTCCCTCTCAGGCCTGCCTGAACCATCTCCCGTTTCCCATTTTGCTGGGAATTGCTGCCCAAACTCATCTTCCCCTCCCAAAAGCCTGTTTTGGCCAGCGGCCTTGTGCTGAGGGCAGAAAATGTTCCTCATGAAAGGAAAAGGGAGGAGGAGAGGAGAGGAAGGAGAAACATCAGCTCCTTACTATGCAAGGCAGCTCTGGTCCAACCTCCTTCCCACATCCTTTAAAAAAAGAGCAAGAAATCCAAGCAGACAAAGAGAACTGTCATCTCCAGCCTCTGTTTTGATAATAATCCCAGTGACGTCGCAGATTGCTTTGGAAACCTTCTCTTCTAACAAAATCCACATTCTCAGCGTGTCCTTCCTGGCATTCGCTTCCATTTCATCCATCCAACTGCAAATGAGCTGGGTTTTTAATTACTTTCAGCTGCCATAGCACCCAGTGAGTCAGGGAGGCTGGCATGACTTGCAACCAGCAGCTTGCTTGTTATTAATTATTAGAACACTGTAATTAATAAATTGTGCAGCTCCCTGGCAGGGCTCTGCAGCCTCTGTGTCTGAGGCCAGGGGATGAAAGCATGACCAGTCCAGGGGAAGAGAAATTTATTTTTGCAAAACATTCCCAGTGCCTGTAAAGGTCGATGGAAAATCTGGAGGATTTTTTATTTATTTATTTATTTTTTTTATTTTTTATTTTTTATTTTTTTTTTTAAAATTCAGATTTCAGGAAGAAAAGTGGCTGAACTTTTGCTCCCCTGCCACGGGTGATGTTCATCAGTGGGCTTGTTCTTCCCTCCAGCACGAGAGGAAAAGTGAGCTGGGAGCAATAAAAGCAAGCTGGAATGTGGATCCATATCATTCTGGCAGCCAGCAGTGGAAATTCCAGCGTAATTCCAGCTATGGAGGGCTCAGTGAATGGAGCCTGCTAGCAGAACTCAGCAGCTAAATGCAATTAATGCTTCCCCTGCATCCCTGGCATGGCTGGGGGATAAACTTCCACCCTGGCTGCTCCAGGAATGTGGCTGGGTGGAAAAATTCAGGATCAGTTCAGATGGGTGAGATGTGAGAGGCCTCCAGCAGGTGCCAAAGCCAAGATTTCAGTGTTTATAGCACCTGCTAAATAAAAAATAATTTTTTTTTTAAATTTATGTTTCCTGTGGTTTAAAGGAGGGAGCAGAGAGCTGTGAGCTCTCAGTTCACACACAGAGGAGAGCCCAGCTCCTTCATTCCTTTATCTTAATTTCTTTCCAGCTGGGTGAAATCTTTAACTCCTGCTGCAGTTCCCCCCTGGGAACCCACAGAGCACCCAAACAGGACGAGGATCTGGATGAGCAGCACCAAAACCTCAGATGAAAGAGAGCAAGGACAGGAAAAACTGGTCCTTATCCAAGCAATTCCTGCATGTAAATAATGCCATTTTTTTGAAATTCAGGGTGGGGGATATGAAGAGATGAAAGGAGAGGAGGAAACCTTCAGTGCTCAAAGGATTTTGGATATTCAGACAGGAGATATTTGCAAAGGTGAAGGGGTCGTTTCTTAGCTGCCTGCAAAGAGAAGTTCAGCAGTTGAGGAATTCTCTCTTCCAGGAGATTCTATCCCATCCAAAAGAAATGGAATATTAAAATTGAAGCTGGAGGCAGCAGCTGGTAGAATATTATCAGTGTGTTTTGTTGTGCTGGAGGAAAAAAATCCACAAAGCTTTGAGCTGCACAGACTGGGATTTATTTGGTGGTGTTGGTGGTGACATTCCTGATGGAGAAGAAAAAAAAAATCTGATGGAGAAGAAAAATCTCATTTGTGGAAGGAAAAAAAAACCCCAGTCCTGCACCTTTGTGGATTTGCTGGCTGAGCTGAGCAGGGGAAATAATCAGATTTACTTGAGACTTGGCTCCTCTTTTCCTCTCCAGTCTGGTTTCCAGTGCTGTGCTGGTCCAGCTTGGTTCCTGATTATCCAGGTGGAGCTGGGATGCACCCAAAAAAAAAAAAAGGATATTTTCCATGTTCTCTCCTGTTGTCTCTGTCAACTGCTGTTTCCACTGGCTGGATTTTGTCTGCTGAGGAAGGAGGGGGAGAAAAGGGTGGAGAGAGGGAGGGAGGAGCTGCAAAACCCAAACATCTCTCAAAGGAGGAACTTTCTCCCAAAAATCAGCTCCTGCTCTCAGACAGATTGCCGAGGCGCAGGCCAAGCTCTGCTGCAGGAAGCTGATTTCATTTCTGTCTGCTCCTCTCTGCTTGGGGGTGAGAAATACCGATTTTTTCCCTTTTCACTGTTAATTGTAACCACATGTGAGCTGGGATGGAAGGGAGAACCAGGCTGGTTGTGTTTCCCAGGCCTCCCCCTGCAGCTTGGTTCCGTTTTTTCTGCCTCCCTGTGCATTTTCATGGAACGTTTTGGAAAGCTCCCAGCCCTGCCTGCTCCTGCAGGAGTCTGGGAGGTATTTGTGAGTCAGCAATTCGGATTTTATTGACTCTTGTAGCAAATTAAAGTCCAATAAAAACCGTTGGGTTCGGCGCTCGGGAGTGGGGACGGGGAGGAGAAGGAAATTTTGAGTCATGCCTCTGGTTTCCTGCCTTCTTTTGTGGTTTTTCACTCTTCTAGATGTTTCACTTATTCCCTGCAGTAATTTTCACTGGATTTTCTGTCTGGGGTTTGGGCTGAAATGAGCCGAAATGGGTGATCCTCTGTCTTTTATCCCCCTCACCCAGCAACACAAAGCAGAGGTTAAAAAGTTCCAGATCTCGAGCCGCACGGACAGCGGCGTGCACGCGCTGGCCAACGCCGCGCACCTGGACGTGCAGCACCAATTATTGCCACTTTTTTGCTGTAGTTTTGCTCAAATTTTGCCCAATTTTTCCCCAATTTTCCCCAATTTTTCCCCAATTTTTCCCCAATTTTCCTGATTTTTCCCCAATTTTCCCCTGTCCCCGCAGAAGGCCGCGGAGCAGCTGAAGCCCAGCGCGCCCATCAAGTTCCAGATCTCGAGCCGCACGGACAGCGGCGTGCACGCGCTGGCCAACGCCGCGCACCTGGACGTGCAGCGCGCCGCGGGCCGCGCGCCCTTCACGGGGCAGCAGCTGCTGCAGGGGCTCAACCGCCACCTCCGGCCCGAGCCCATCCGGTCAGTCCTGCTGGGGGAAAAATCCCTTTGTTCTGGCGTGGTTTTGCTGTGAAAACAGGGAAAAATGGGTCCTGGCCAAGTGGGTGCTGTGTGGAAATTATGGATTTTTTTTGGAGGTCGGGGTGGGGGTTGTGGGAGATGAAAGGAGGGGAGTGCCCAGCAGGTTTTCAGCACCTGTCAATGGAAAATCTTTGGAATTTCTGTGTCTCTGTCAATGGAAAACCTTTGGAATTTGCATCCCTGTCACCTGTGCCCTCTGTCCGCAGCATCCTGAGTGCCCAGCGGGTGCCCAGCACCTTCCATGCCCGTTTCTGTGCCCTCTCCAGGACCTACATCTACCGCCTGCTGCTGGGCTGTGCCCACCCCTCCCAGGTCCCCGTCTTCGAGCGGGATCTGTGCTGGGCTCCTCCCGGAGGGTGAGAGCAGCTCCTGGGACCTCTCTGCAAGGGAAAATGGGGATTCAGGGCTGGTGGGGGGGAAAAAGGGGATTTTTGGCTTTGAAAATCCCTGACAGGAGGGGACAGCCCCAGGCCGGGCTCTGGGACAGGAGGAGGGAATGGCCTCAGGCTGGGGTTTGAGTTGGACATCAGGAGGGTTTAAGGGTTCCAGGAGAGGTTTAGGAGGAATTTCCCCTTTTAAAGAGTTGTTAAATGTGGGAATTTCTGCCCAGGGAGGTTTGGGGTGCCCATCCCTGGAGGTGGCCCAAAGAAAAACCCCTTGAAGTAGAATTTGTGCAGGGTTTTTGGGCTGGCCAGAGGATTTTTGGGAATTGATTTTTTGGGTTTGGTTTTTGGTATTTATTTGTATTTTTGCGTATTTATTTTTATGTATTTGATGTGAATATCAGATTTTTTCTGATGTGTGATCACCTCCATTTCTCTGTGGGGTTTTATATATTAAATATAAATAGATATATTTATATATTGAAATGGGTTTTTAAAAATTTATTTGTACTTTTATGTATTTATTTTTATTTTATATATTTAATATAAATATACATATTTATATATTGAAATATTTTTATTTATTTGTATTTTTATGTATTTATTTTTATTTTATATATTTAATATAAATACATATATTTATATATTGAAATATTTATGGGTTTTTTGTATTTATTTGTATTTTTATGTATTTATTTTTATTTTATGTATTTAATGTGAATATCAGATTTTTGGGTCATTTTCAGGAAAGAATTTTGTCCCAGGTTTCAGATTAATTGGGGCACTGCAGGTTAATTACTCTCATTAACCCGAGGTTTATGTGTTAAAAACCACTGGAAATTTGATTTAAATCCTTTTTTGGTTTTTAGGGGACTGCAGTTCTGGGAGGTGAGGGCGAAGAGCAGATCCTTCCTGTACCGCCAGGTACTGCAACACCAAAATTCAGTTTATTAATTAACCTAAAAACTAATTCATGCATCTGAGTTTTCATCTGATGGCTGCCAAGAATCTGATGGGTGCCAATAATCTGATTTTAATCTGATAGGTGCAAATAATCTGATTTTTAATCTGATTTTTAATCTGATGGGTGCCATTAATCTGATTTTAATCTGATTTTTAGTCTGATGAGTGCCAATAATATGATTTTTAATCTGATTTTTAATCTGATGGGTGCCATTAATCTGATTTTAATCTGATTTTTAGTCTGATGAGTGCCAATAATATGATTTTTAATCTGATTTTTAATCTGATGGGTGCCATTAATCTGATTTTAATCTGATTTTTAGTCTGATGAGTGCCAATAATATGATTTTTAATCTGATTTTTAATGTGATTTTTACTCTGATGATGCCAAAAATCTGATTTCCCTGAACTGTGGCGGCAGCAGGTGGAGCCTGCAGTGCCCCCTGCTGAGGGAGGGCGAGATCCCAGAGGGCAGGAGCCGGGATCCCAGGAGGAGTCCTGAGGGATCCTGAGGGATCCTGGGCACTGCGGGGTCCTGAGGGATCCTGAGGGATCCCAAGGAATTCTGAGGAATCCTGGGCACTGCGGGGTCCCGAGGAGTTCTGAGGAGTTCTGAGGAATTCTGAGGAATTCTGAGGAATCCTGGGCACTGCGGGGTCCTGAGGGATCCCGAGGAATTCTGAGCACTCGGGGATCCTGAGGGATCCTGAGGAATTCTGAGGAATTCTGAGCACTCGGGGATCCTGAGGAATCCTGGGCACTGCGGGGTCCTGAGGAATTCTGAGGAATTCTGAGGAATCCTGGGCACTGCGGGGTCCTGAGGAATTCCGAGGAATTCCAGGATCCCAAATTTCCCTCTGGATAAAAACACCTCGAACCTTTTGAGCTTTTTTAGCGATAATCGTGAGCAGGTGGCTCAGCGGGCTTTGGTTCATTAATTTGTTTAATTAATGAGTCACAAACGCAGCCCAGGGATTTGTCCAGCACTCCAGGGGGGGTTGGGAGGGTCAGAAATGGGATTTTGGTTAAATTGAAATTGGGGATGGGGGGAACACACAGACCTAAAAACTAATTCATGCATCTGAGTTTTCATCTGATGGCTGCCAAGAATCTGATGGGTGCCAATAATCTGATTTTAATCTGATAGGTGCAAATAATCTGATTTTTAATCTGATTTTTAATCTGATGGGTGCCATTAATCTGATTTTTAATCTGATGGGTGCTAAAAATCTGATTTTTAATCTGATAGGTGCAAATAATCTGATTTTAATCAGGTTTTTAATCTGATGGCTGCAAAAAATCTGATTTTTAATCTGATGGGTGCCATTAATCTGATTTTAATCTGATTTTTAGTCTGATGAGTGCCAATAATATGATTTTTAATCTGATTTTTAATGTGATTTTTACTCTGATGATGCCAAAAATCTGATTTCCCTGAACTGTGGCGGCAGCAGGTGGAGCCTGCAGTGCCCCCTGCTGAGGGAGGGCGAGATCCCAGAGGGCAGGAGCCGGGATCCCAGGAGGAGTCCTGAGGGATCCTGAGGGATCCTGGGCACTGCGGGGTCCTGAGGGATCCTGAGGGATCCCAAGGAATTCTGAGGAATCCTGGGCACTGCGGGGTCCCGAGGAGTTCTGAGGAGTTCTGAGGAATTCTGAGGAATTCTGAGGAATCCTGGGCACTGCGGGGTCCCGAGGAGTTCTGAGATGGGGAATTGGGGGTGGAAAATTGGGGTGGAAAATTTGGGGAGGGGGAATTGGGGGTGGAGAATTTGGTATGGAGAACTGGAGATGAATTGGGATGGAGGTTTGCAGGTGGAGAATTGAAAGTGGAGGTTTGGGGATGGAAAATTGGAAATGGATTGGGAATGGGGATTTGGAGAGGGAGAACTGGAGGTTGAAAATTGAAAATGGAGATTTGGGATGGAAAATTTGGGATGGGGAATTGAAATGGAGAATTGGGGATGGGAAATTTGGGTTGGGTTGGTGACTCCAGGCTGGGGTTGGTGACTCCAGGGTTGGGTTGGTGACTCCAGGCTGGGTTGGTCACACCAGGTTGGGTTGGTGACTCTGGGGTTGGGTTGGTCACACCAGGCTGGTTTGGTGACTCCAGGCTGGTTCCTGACCCCTGTGTCCCCCGGCAGGTGAGGAGGATGGTGGGGGCACTGGTGGCCGTGGGCCAGGGCAGGCTGGGTTGGTGACTCCAGGTTGGGTTGGTGACTCCAGGGCTGGGTTGGTGACTCCAGGCCGGTTCCTGACCCCTGTGTCCCCCGGCAGGTGAGGAGGATGGTGGGGGCACTGGTGGCCGTGGGCCAGGGCAGGCTGGGTTGGTGACTCCAGGTTGGGTTGGTGACTCCAGGGCTGGGTTGGTGACTCCAGGGCTGGGTTGGTCACACCAGGTTGGGTTGGTGACTCCAGGCCGGTTTTAAGGAGCCCGGGGGCTGTTCCTGCACAGCGTGGAGTACAGCCCCACAGGTGGGTGTGATTAATTAATTAATGGGTAATTAATAACAATTAATGAGCCCGGGGGCTGTTCCTGCACAGCGTGGAGTACAGCCCCAAAGGTGGGTGTGATTAATTAATTAATGGGTAATTAATAACAATTAATGAGCCCGGGGGCTGTTCCTGCACAGCGTGGGGTACAGCCCCACAGGTGGGTGTGATTAATTAATGGGTGATTAATAACAGTTAATGAGCCCCGGGGCTGTTCCTGCACAGCGTGGAGTACAGCCCCAAAGGTGGGTGTGATTAATTAATTAATGGGTAATTAATAACAATTAATGAGCCCGGGGGCTGTTCCTGCACAGCGTGGAGTACAGCCCCACAGGTGGGATGCTTAATTAATTAAGGAATTTGAGCCTAAATACCACCAGGTTGGGTTGGTGACTCCAGGCCGGTTCCTGACCCCTGTGTCCCCCGGCAGGTGAGGAGGATGGTGGGGGCACTGGTGGCCGTGGGCCAGGGCAGGCTGGGCCCTGCCGAGCTCCAGGAGCTGCTGCAGCTCCGCGACCCCCGGGCGCTGCCCCCGCACGCCACGGCCCCGGCGCGGGGGCTGTTCCTGCACAGCGTGGAGTACAGCCCCAAAGGTGGGTGTGATTAATTAATTAATGGGTAATTAATAACAATTAATGAGCCCGGGGGCTGTTCCTGCACAGCGTGGAGTACAGCCCCACAGGTGGGATGCTTAATTAATTAAGGAATTTGAGCCTAAATTGAACCATTTTAGCCTAAATTGAACCATTTTAGCCTAAATTGAACCATTTTTAGCTTGAAAAAGTGGGATAGATTTGCAAATATCTGTTTCCTTTTCCCCTAAATCAATATTTCTCTCCCTAGATCAGTATTTTTTCCCCTAAATCAATATTTTTTCCTCATAATCAGTATTTCTCTCCCTAAATCAATATTTCTCTCCCTAAATCAATATTTTTTCCCCATAATCAATATTTCTTTTTCCCCATAATCACTATTTTTTCCCCATAATCACTATTTCTCTCCCTAAATCAATGTTTTCTCCCCATAATCAATATTTCTTTTTCCCCTCAATCAATATTTCAGTATTTCTCTCCCTAAATCAATATTTCTTTTTCCCCATAATCACTATTTTTCCCCACAATCCATATCCTCTCCCTCAGTCAGTGTTTCTGTGCTCTCCCCTCAGACCTGGCCATTCCGAGTGCCCCGGCAGAGGAGGAGCCCTGTGGCCTGAGCTGAAGTGATGCCATTATTTATAAACTTAATTAAACAACGATAAAAATGACACATCTGCATTGTCTCACCCTGCACACAACACCAAAAGATTTGTGTTAAACCACCTCAGGTCCCCATTCCCAAATTAAAAAATCCTGTTCCAACAGCTCTGCTGGCAGGGGGAGGGAAGGGGCAGGGAGGCAGAGCCCAGCTGATTCCAAGAGGTATTTGCTGATTTTTTCATCATTTTTCTGAAATTTTCTGAGATTTTTTTTCAGATTTTTTTAGGTTTTTCTTCTCTGATTTTTTCTGATTTTTTTTCTGAATTTTTCTGCTTTTTTCCTATTATTTTCTGATTTTTTCTGACTTCTTTCTGATTTTTTCTGAATTTTTCTGGATTTTTTTCCTGATTTTTTTGAGATTTTTTTCAGGTGTTTATTCTCTGATTTTTTCAGATTTTTTTCTGAATTTTTCCGATGTATTTCCAATTTTTTCTGAATTTTTTTGGATTTTTTTCTGATTTTTTTTTCAGGTTATTATTCTCTGATTTTTTCAGATTTTTTTCTGAATTTTTCCGATGTATTTCCAATTTTTTCTGAATTTTTTTGGATTTTTTTCTGATTTTTTTTTCAGGTTTTTATTCTCTGATTTTTTTCAGATTTCTTTTCTGAATTTTTCTGATTTCTTTCCAAATTTTTTCTGGATTTTTTTCAGATAGTTTTTTTGAGATTTTTTCAGGTTTTTCTTCTCTGATTTTTTCAGAACTTTTCTGATTTCTTTCTGACTTTTTCTGCTCTTTTCAGATTTTTTCCTGAATTTTTCTGATTTCTTATTGATTTTTTTTTAAATTTTCTGATTTTTTTCTGATTTTTTCCTGATTTTTTCTGCTTTTTTCTGAATTTTTTCTGAATTTAGAGCCTCTCTGTCACAGTTGTCAGAACCTCTGAGTTTCTGCTGCTGCCTCAGCAGGAGGGAGTGGGCTGGGTGGTTTTTATATTTTTCTATTTTTACATTTTTACATTTTGTTTTTCCTGGGGCTGTGGGAGGCAGGCTCAGAGAGAGCAGGAAATGCAGCAATGTGGGAAAAGGGTTGGAGAAAATTCTGACATTTATTTATTTTTTTAAAGAATTTTCAAGAAATTTCTACGAATTGTGAAGAATTTTCTACAAACCCATTTCCCACACAGCATTAAAATAAAGATTATAAACAAAATCAACATTTTGCAATAAAAAAATGCAATTTTTAAAAAATAATAGCAATTATTTAATTTTAACCAGGGAGTAAAGAGCTCATATTTATCTTTATTATTTAAATATTATCTGTTATTTGATTTGAACCACTCAGCTCTGCCTGCTTGCCCTGAATAGAATCAACATTGGGCATAAATATTGTTTATACTAAATATATTTTAATATATATTTATTTATTTATTTTTATTCATTTATTTAGATAAATAAATATATTTCTATAAATAGAAATATATTTATATAAATTTATATAAAATATATTTAAATATATATTTATATAATTTATATAAATATATTTCTACTTTGAATTTTAACAGTTCCAAGCAGCACTGAGGGGATTTTAAGGCAATTCAGCTGAGTAATTTTTACTTGAGGGTGTTTGGGATTTATTTGGGATTTTAGATTTGTTTTTATTTTGGAAATTTAGGATTTATTTGGGAAAACAAAAGCTGGGTTTTCATCCCCAAATTGCTCCTCAGGTGTCACAAAAAGGATTCTTGACTCCAAATTCCAAAATCCCAGTGCAGGAATTGGACAAAGACTGGAATTCTTTATTAAAACCAACAGGAAAAGCACAGGGAGTGTAAATAAAATAAAATAAGAATGAAAATCAAACCCAATCTCTGCTCTCAGGGGGGGCTCTGGGGCAGCCCCTTCTTCAGCAGGGATGTGAGGTAACTGCCCAGCTCTTCATCCTGGCAGGCACAGCAACAAAACCAAAATCAAATATAAAACCAAAAGCAAAATTAAATACAAAACCAAAATCAAATACAAAACCAAAACCAAAATCAAAATCAAATACAAAACCAAAACCAAAACCAAAATCAAATACAAAACCAAAACCAAAACCAAAATCAAATACAAAACCAAAACCAAAACCAAAATCAAATAACCACAACCAGGGGCAGAGCAAGATCCTCCTTGTTTGTCCCACCCGGGGCAGGAAATTCAGTGTTGGGAAGGAAGGGAGGGAACTGCTGGGCCTGCAGGCTCTCCTGTCAGCTGTGTTTGAGGCTGGAACAACCCAAAATTTCATTTCTGACCAATTCCTGCTGTGAAATCCCCATTTCTGCAGGGCCTGAGGGGCTTCCTTTGGGAAAAGCTCCATGTGTGCTTGAAACAAGGAATAAACTGATTTTATTGCTCTGCCTTCCCAAGGATTTCCTTGCTGCCAAGAAATTTAATAATCCAGCAAGTTTAATAATATAAAATTTAATAATCTAGGAGGTTTAATAATCTAGAAAGTTTAATAATCCAGAAAGTTTAAGAATAGAAAGTTTAATAATCTAGAAGGTTTAATAACCCAGAAAGATTAATAATCCAGGTTTAATAATCCAGCAAATTTAATAATCCAGAAAGTTTAATAATCTAGAAAGTTTAATAATCTGGAAAGTTTAATAATACAGCCAATTTAATAATCCAGAAGGTTTAATAATCTAGGTTTAATAATCCAGCAATTTTAATAATCCAGTAAATTTAATAATCTAGAAAGTTTAATAATCTAGGTTTAATAATCCAGCAAGTTTAATAACCCAGAAAGTTTAATAATCTAGGTTTAATAATCCAGAAAATTTAATAATCCAGCAAGTTTAATAACCCAGAAAATTTAATAATCCAGGTTTAATAATCCAGCAAATGTAATAATCCAGCAAATTTAATAATCCAGCAAATTTAATAATCTAGAAGGTTTGATAATCCAGCCACAGAAAGGGAAGGTGCTGGGATGACTCAAATAAAGAATGTTAAGATCAGAAATAGTTCTGCCCTTGTTTAACATTTTCCAAGTTAGAAATACACAGTGAAATATTTAATTCAGAGCTGAATTAAATGGAATTCAGTGGAATTACCCCAGAAGTTCTCTGCTTTACAGAGCTGTGAAACCATTTCTGTCAGCCCCAGAAGCTGAGAGAAGAGCAGGGACTGCCCTCACCTTCCAAAGGCACAGGAGGGAGGTGGGCAGGAGGAGCTGGGGCAGAAATGGAATTCCCACCTGGTAGGTCCAGGAGACCAGCAGGACTTTGGTGCCCTGGTCCTCGGAGTGAGCCGTGGCCTGGATCAGGATGGACTCCACCGTGATGGAGCCGTCAGGGAGGTGCTGCACCGAGTAGTCCTTGAGGATCCTGCAGGGAGAGAGGAATTTGGGATTTGTTTGGGAAAATGAGTAATGGGAGGTGCTGCACCGAGTAGTCCTTGAGGATCCTGCAGGGAGAGAGGAATTTGGGATTTGTTTGGGAAAATGAGTAATGGGAGGTGCTGCACCGAGTAGTCCTTGAGGATCCTGCAGGGAGAGAGCAGAAATTTGGGATTTGTTTGGGAAAAGAAATGCTGGGAGGTGCTGCACAGAGTAGTCCTTGAGGATCCTGCAGGGAGAGAGAAATTTGGGACAATAAATGCACTGAGTAATCCTGCAGGACTCTGCAGGGAGAGAGCAGAAATTTGGGATTTGTTTGGGAAAAGAAATGCTGGGAGGTGCTGCACAGAGTAATCCTTGAGCACTCTGCAAGGAGAGGGCTGAAATTTGGGAAAAGAAATGCTGGGAGGTGCTGCACGGAGTAATCCTTGAGCACCCTGCAGGGAGAGAAATTTGGGATTTGTTTGGGAAAATGAATGCTGGGTTTTCACCCCAAATCCCAGGCTGTTCCTCGCTCCTGAGTCTGAGCCCAGGGAGGGAAGAGGGGCTGAGGCACAGCTCACTCTGCTGTTTCCATCTCCCATGCAGCACTTCCTGCAGAAATGATTCTGCAGAGTTCCTCCAGCCCTGCTCTGAGGGGAGAGCTCGGGAGCAGCAGCTGCAAGGAGGGAAACCCGAATTTGAACATTCTGCTGCTGCCAGCTCAAAGGAGGGGCCCTGTGCTACAGCTGAGCTGCCAAAACCACCCAGCAGCCCGCCAGGGACTCCTGATTCCCTTCAGAGAAATCACCAGTGGCACTGCAGCAGGGCTGAGCCCCATGGGATGGGACTGCAGCTCCTCTCCTGACTCTGGTTTTTTCTTTTTGTACTACTGCATTTGTATTTTTTACCTTTTCCTAGTAAAGAACTGTTATTCCTATTCCCATATCTTTGCCCCGGAGCCTTTTAATCCCAAAATCATCATAATTCAGAGGGAGGGGGTTGGCATTTTCCATTTCAGGGCAGGCTCCTGCCTTCCTCAGCAGACACCTCCTTCCAAACCAAGACAAATCTCTCGAGCAGTGGCTGGAGAGATGTTCCACTTTTTGGATGGGTTTGTTCCACTTCCTTTAAATTTTCCAAGCCCATGATTGGAAACTTGGGGTTAAAAACACACGGGGATAAAGAAATCAACTGATTTTCCATGTCAGGGCAGGCTCCTGCCTTCCTTAAGCAAACACCTCCTTCCAAACCAAGGTGCCTCAAGAGATGTTCCACTTCCTCCCAATTTTGCTCGGCTTTCTTCCACTTCCTTTAAATTTTCCAACCTCATGCTTGGAAACAGGGCCTTAAATAACCACGGGGATTAAAAACCATGGGGATAAAGAAATCAACGGAACCCCTGAGGGCCAGAACAGGCCAGGCAGGGCTCAGGCTCACCCCTTGAGGTGGTTGTAGACCCTGAGCACGGTCTCGTGCTCCTTGCGCGGGTCCTGGATGTGCACGCGGCAGGTGAAGCGCAGCTGATGCTCGGCCAACCCCAGCTCCTTCAGGGCCTGCTCGGGGGAAACCAGCCTGAAACTCTGAGGGGAAAAAGAGATTGAAAGGGTAAAATGAATGCTCAGAGCTTGGGGGAGTCGTGGTGCTGCCCTGGGGTGGGGGGAGGCAGGGAAGGGTGTTGGTTTTCTGTGCTGGAATACCGCGGGGTGTTTGT